ATCCTGTCATAAACAGCGATTGTTGTTACTTTTTTTTATTACTAAACGCAATTCCAAAACGTCAGATGTCATATTAAATTATGACATTTGACATTATCATCACTTAGGATATTATTAAGGGTTGCTTAAACAAAACGAACTTTCTTGATAGCTGAATCCGTCAATCTGCGGGCCTAAAAACTTTTCAACTTCATAGTGAAAGGGAAAGTAATTAGTTAGTTAGTGTATATTGGTTCGTATCCATTACATGATTGGGGTGATAATGGCTTAATAAATCACATGCTCGCATAAATTTGTGAACAAGACATGTGTGTACAAGGTTTTATAAATATAGTTCCAAAAATGAAACTATTACTTTTATATTCATACATTTTATGTTAAAAAAAATTTTGACGGGTGCTTCAATTAAAATATTAAGTGGCAACATTTCCGTTTAGTTCATTCATTTTTATTTATTTATTTTATTTTTTCATTCATTAGTACATTCTGTTTATTTTATTTCATGGGTTATCATAAAAATTGTATTGAGACTTCTTTAAATTTAAAATCCATAACTCTTTCTAACTTTTACCATTCAAAATATAATCTATCTACAATTAAAAAAAATCAGCTCTTAATTACGTCAAAATATATTAGAAGAATCATCTTTTTCTTCAAATGTCTTAATGTACAAATTTATATCCACCGATAAACACAGCAATATCTTTAATATCCAGTAATGAAACGAACAATACGGTTTATTATTTTTCATTTTCTCCTTAATGAACTCTTAAAGAACTATTTTTGTTGAAACATTGTACAAAGATTTTTATTCATTATATCTTATAGCATATTAAGGTACCAATATTAAGACAACGTTTAGAGATTTTTGGTAAATACCATTTATATAAAGAGAAAAGGTTCTCCCCAAAGAGGGTTGATGTTAGGCAGGCGGCCGGTCGTAAAAACAATTAGTCAAAAACTATTTACAACATCTAAGGCAGATCCTGGCTAAAGTTGGGAAATTGCCAGGAAGAAGAAGAAGATAAGTAATGAGAAAAAATGGGAATATTAATTCAAGTTTAATAACATATACACAGAATCTATTTAAGCCTTCACTGACGAAAATTGTAATACTGACACGTAACCCCAAACACTGTCAAGTACTGGATAAATTCTGTGAGTGGACGGATGGATTGAGGACAAAAACAAGTAAATATCACTGTCTGTATCTTGAAAAGCGGGCTACAAGATACATCTCATATCCGGGAGTATCGTTAGGCGGTCAATGCGTTTTACGGTTATGGAAAATGCTCCTTTTAAATTTCTCATTCGTAAGAGAGATAATATAGATCATATCTGTATCCTTAGTTAATATTATTGAGCTTTTCAAATGATCTCAACAAGGCAGATGACTCTCAAATTAATGTGAATCATGACATTCTAGATGAATGCGTGCCAGGTGACTCTCCCAGATCAAAGTGATTCAATAAGGTTGTGTAGAAATACCAAAAAAACTTATTATAACAGTACAAAGGCAGTTGGGACTACTAAGCATTTGCAAGTGGAATGTTATGTACTCCTGGATAGTGGTCAATACTCCCTTCAGAGCGACGGTGTTCTACAAATCATAGGTGAAGTGGTTAGTCTTTCGGCAGCCAGAGAGCAAAAAGAAATAACCACAAACGAGCTATCAGTAGGTTTTGTGAGGGAAGGCATTAGGGCTATAAATTCAAACTTCAAGACTTACTAAACCCTTAAAATTGCTCTGAATTGGGTTTTTGATTTTTTTTTTGTGATAAATGGAAAGATCATATATAAGTTTTATAACAAAACTATTTTTATTTTATTTTTTTTGCAATAATTAAAAAGTTATTTCAAAATAAAAATTAAATTTTAAATTCAGTACCGCAGATCCGCCGACAGCTCGCGAATAAACCCGAGCGCGTGTGACGTCACAATGTTAGTTTTTGCTCATTGTAGCATACAGAGATATAATAATTAGTACAGTGTTTTGAGTTTTTATCTAGTAAATTCTGTTGGCATTGTTAAATAATCAAAAATGTCAAAACTCTAAAGTTAACGCCCTTGTTTTGTACCATTATGTACAAATACTACAAAAACAACTCCTGAAAAAATGTTTTTAAATGTTCCACAAGACGAAAAACGTCGAAAGAAATAGTTTCAAGCAGTGCACCGAGATTATTCAAAAACAAAATCATTTTTTTTTTGTTGTGAAGATCATTTCGTTGTAAGTATTCATAATAATATTGTTATTCATTATTATTTATCTAAGTGTATAAATGGAATAAGTATAGTTCAGTAATTAATTTTTTTACCTGGGCTCCAAATCATAACCTTTAGAATCGTAGCATTAAAAAAATTTTAATTGATAATTCAAAGCGATTAAATAGTAAATCTATATGTATGTTTGTCTAATAATTGGAATTCAATTAATAGATATTTTCATAATTTTATAACATTCTAGGTTCTGTATCAGACTACATTTAAATTTTTAAAGTATATCTTATTTTGATTTTTTATAATGTTATAATAACATTTTATTAATAATGATTTAATGAAATAATTATTAATTATATTTAATAGAGAATAAATACTAATTTTCATTTAGAATAGTATTTTTTAACAGACTTACCTTGATGCCTTAGCACCTCGAAATTCAGCAGAATTAAACCGAACGTGTTTTTTTTTTAAATTAGTTATCATAAATATATCAACATCAGGAATATTATCCGATTTTGCTTTTATAAATCCTTTATCACACATACTTAGTGGAAATAAACTTTTCAAATCGTTTTTCACTAATAAATTTGAGATATTTTCATCAAGTCAAAGATAATAGCCATAAACACTGTACTATTATGAAATTGCTTTAACATTATGACGTCACAAGTATGGTGACCAATCATGGCGCGTTTACAGTCACGTGATTTTTTTTTAATTTTATCAATTTTTAATTGCTTATAATTAATTAAAAAATTTTTTTTTCAAGTTTTTTGCATTAAAAATCAATATAATTAATAATAAAGTTTTAAAATACATAAAATAAACAATACTTTTTTTTTTTTCAAAAACCCAATTAGACCTCAATTATGGATACCTACGAGAAACAATATAATATCCCAGAGGAAATTTGTACCTCTTCTTGCAGACCAGACATATTTCTGAATTCACGAAATTTAAAGTTCCTTGTGTTAATAGAGCTTACGATTCCATCAGAAACCTTCAACCTCAAAAACCATGCCCTCAAAGTTAATAAATATTCTTTAGGTGGTAGAGCCTAGCTGTGGTCAAGTTACTCCAGCTCGAACATGGGCTGGCTCGACCGGGGAAGTACCACCCTCACACAAAAGATCGGCGTGAAGTAGCCTTATTCGGCTGCGTTTCGTCTGATGAATGAGAGAGCCGGTTGCCATTTCCTTTTTCCTCCACCCTTTCCTACTCCTTCCCTTTTTCCTCCCTTTCCTACACTTTCCTTCCCCTCTTCCCTTATCAGGGCTGGTAACACGTCCGCAAACTACGTTTCGGATGTCCATGGACGACGGTACTACCTCCATCAGGTAGGCCGTCTGCTCGTTTGCCCCCTTTCGCATAAAAAAAAGAGCTTACTAACGAATTCATTAGCAATAAGGCGTACAAATTTAACACTTTACCACTTAGTGGCGAGAGGTATGAATCCATTAAATGCTAAGAGGTTTTGTACGCGGTTGTCTTCCTATGAGCTCTAATCTATAAACTAAATATGTACGCATTCCTTAAACCCATAATAAAAATAAATTAGTTTGGAAAAACAAGATTTTACTTAGAATTGAAAGAACGCTAAATTGAATAGTGTAGAAAAAATTATATATTAAATAAGATGACATCCCATTACATGTTCTAAATCTTAAATGTACATATATCAGAATAGAACACTCAAATTGTTTTTTTAATTTATAATAGTATTATGTGATATTACTATGCATAATACATACAATTGTTTGAGATATATCAATACAAATTATTATTTACTTTTGAGCTTCCTAAGTTACAATTCCCTTACATCAACGAATTTTCACCCAAAACAACTGTAATTTACGTGAGAACCCTTTGTGTTCCAATCGCTTTAATGACGCTTACATCATCCAGGTAGTAAAGCTTTGTATACGCTTACCAGAAGGTTCAAAAAATCTATCACTGTTTAAAATTCGTTTCTATGTAAAAGCCTAGTTTATATTTTGTTGTATAAGTATGGTAGAGTTGATAATAATTATAAATAATATTGCTAATAGTATGTTATTATGATAATTATTTAAATTATGTTAGTACATCATTATTTCACCTTTCAACGGGTGGAATGTAAATCAAGCACTATCTGGTACTTAAAAACTGTCTATAGGATTTATTTCAGTCTAGAACATTTATGTATTACACAAAGCCTTGGTGTATATATTATATTTGAGAATAATTTATATTGTATAAAATATTAAAACCAAAAAATTTTTATATCTCATACACTATGGAAGTTATATTGCTCGCGAAGTAAAGGAAGTCGTTTGATAAACTTTACAAAAAAAATACCAACTACAAACTTATTCTCATTTAGCTCTTATATATATTATCTTTTTAAAATTATGAATGTTTTACTACATATTTTTATCATCTCTTCACCACCAATCATTCAAATACATTATAAATAAAACCACCTAAACATGTCTAATAATTTATTTCATTACAATCATTATAGATTAAACTACAGACTATTCGATGGTAAACTTACGGCGGGAGGAGCCGTGCATACAAAAGTACAGACAAATTATATATTAATAGTTAAAAACTTTTAATGAGATCAATAGAAAGTTAACATCTAACCAGCCGTTAATGGAATTGACTACATTCAGAATGGAATCTATTACAATATGTCTAAATAAAATAAGCTTGAGTGGTAATAATTTATATTGAACATACGTTTTAGTTATATATCTCAAGTTTATTTCATTTATGTGTTACATCCATTTAATTTACAAAGAACCGATCACGTATCCATCTTCGTCGTTCAATCTTGACCTTCGGTAATTGTCCATCTAGAAGAATACAATATTTAGGTCCAACAAACTGCAGTTAGAGTCATTTTTCATTTAAAAAAACCGTCGAAAAATCGTAATATCACATAGTCATCTTCCAAAAAATTCTAGAAAAATCATTATACTACATTCTATTTAACAACATTAAAATGATTAATTCGTCTCATTTAGACGACTGTTAAAAAAGGATTTGAATATATATAATGTTATTATAATAAAAAAAAATGTTAAAGCTTTATTATATATATAAATAACTCTTACCCAGTACTTCAGTAAATTATGCAGCTTCATCTTGACCACATCTCTAGCATTGTTTTCCTCGCGGTCGAAGACACCTGTTTGAAATAAACACATTTATTTCCACAACAGAATCCATTAAAATGTTTAACTATACTGCATAATGACAGTTTTAGTTTAACATGTGTAAACTTACTATAAGTACAGTAGGTAAAAAATTCTCGTATCTACATTTGAAAAACAAAATAGTTAGTTTTAAGGATTAATATTTGTTAAAGATCTGTTTGCACTACTACGTCGTAGCTAAAGTCTACGTCGTAGCAATACGTCTACGATCGTAGAATAAAGCTTAAGTCGTAAAATAATTCAGATCAGTCATAAAGGTTTTCTTTAAAACCAGCACTTACATTGTTATAGCCACTTAAAGTTACTGGCGAGGTGAGATAATCGCTTAACAATAACTTCATTATTGGTACTACATACATATATACATTATTACAACTAACTATAATATGTTATTTAGTCGTGACTCGTTATTATTAATTATTGATTTTAACATATTTTTAGATGACATAACAATAACTTTACTATTTGCTTTGAACTTTCTATTGAAGACCTAATACAGTTATTAATGACTATGACACTACTTAACAACTATGACACTGATTAACAACTATGACACTAGTTAACAACTATGACTATTCAACTTGCCTCCATCCCTAATGGGTATGACGTCATCAGGCAGTATATAAGAGTGCGGGTAGCCAGGGTGTGGGGGAATCTCCTCCTGACCAGCCTGCTGACGGGTCAGCTCATTCTAGGATATTGAGAACATAATTATATATTTTACAATGTTTACGACATCTGCTGAAAGAAATTTTAGGGCATTACGAACTAAGAATGAATTTGACATCAGAGCTAGGATCAGAACGATAAATTTATGGTTTTATATTGTATCCAGTGCCGTAACTAGGGCCGTGCCAGCAGTACCCAGGTACAGGGCGCAGAAATGACCAGACTAGTATTTAATTTTATCTCAAGCATGGTAGCTATATACTTATATACTTTGTTACTTTGGTAAACAATGAATACATAGATTTATTTGTATGTACATTTGTCCATTTTATTTTCAAGGCCTGGTTAGAGCATTTTTCAGGGGCGCAATTTCGAAAGCTCCTACCGGGTGCATAAAAGGCTAGTTACAGCACAGATAGTATCAATTCATATTTCAGAATAATTTACATTCTAGAACAAAATTCTTAACCACCTGCTCGTATAGTAGGTGTTAAATGAATGTTTTGATTGCAATAGTATCTGGGTTAAGTACTGGGGCTAGTGTATGAAAACAAGAGATAATTAAGAATAGTTTGAGAACTGAAGCCGGTTCATTCATGTTATAATGGTTCTCTATAAATTTTATTAAAGCGGGTCATTTTCATTACTCTTCCTTTGTGTCACTGTATAGAAAACATTGACGTAAAATGACATCACATACAAGTTTTTATCTGAATGTGTTTATTTGGTCTGGAATTTTTTATATCGAGATTAATTTCAAATAACGATTTTAATTTTTATTTATTTCCGAAACAAATATGATTTCTTTCGATGTATATTTTTTCTTTTTAATAATAAGTAAATCTAGAATTATTTAAGTGCATTGAACCATAGAAACAAAACTAATGAAATTTTTTAATATATATCTGACAATTTAAATATTGATACAGCAATAAAATGAAATTGTAATCCAAGATTCACATATAAAAATATATTTTTTATTGATATAGTTATAAATACAAGAGCGATGGCTAAAATATTTTGTATTGTAACACAAGATTATCTTGCTCAAGAGTTGCATTAAGTTCTAAAATGCAATCAAAGCTGCGGGATAATTCGAAATCGATACAAATAATTTATATAATATATATAATATTGAATGTTTGAAGTAAACTCCATGTTTACTTAATGCAGAGAGTTCATTTGACCTATTCCGTAAGTTCCTATTGTTTACACACCTTGTTTACAAACTGGCCGCGGGTTTCTCAACTCAGAACTTTCATTTGCAGTGTGCATGACTTAATTTTGTACATGTGTACATTAAACTATGTTTATCTAATACAACTTATATGTGTTTTCACCAATTTAACAAATATTTTTATAGAATTTTTTGACCAGTCCAGTATATGAGCAAAAATTGATAATAACAATAATTTTTCTGTTGTATGTTTTACGCATAAACAAATGTATGACGTCTTCTAGCTTTTGTAAGAACATATAAAAGAAATATTAACATAATCCTAAGAAACGTTAAAATTAATTACTCACATCCATTCCAGAATCAGATCTCTTTCCGTGTCCCCCGAAACAGGAATGTCCAAATGAGGAGCAGCCTCCTAGAAGATAATACTTTCTAAATAAATCTAGTCTATACATAAATAGATACAATAGCCAAATGGAGAAAAGAAACATTTAAAAAATCAATATATTTTTATGATATATTTCACATAAGTATGTTCCTCACGATTCAATAGAAAGTCACTAACGAAAAACCAAAAAAGTAAGATAAAGTCTGCGTCACCGGCTCACGGTTTGCATACAGTTGACATACAGTCGGGACGCTTACAGTTCGTTTGCTTTATTCCTTTATTTGGTCACGTGACCTTTGTGGACTATCGACCTCAAACAAGAGCTAATTCACTTATTGAAACCATAGCTTTTGTATTCGGCTCTATTTACACATGACCTAGTGTACTCTGGGACTAAATAGTGTTTAGTTTCAGAGAAAAACTTGACTATTTCTTCTAATTTATACCACAATTTAATGTAATTAGTATGAAGTATACATCAATATAGAAAAAACTACAATGCCATGATGGACTACTTATACAGCATATTATGTACAATCGCTAATTAAAAAAATGCTATATGGAAAATGTAAAGCTTGAATTAAAACAGATCGTATAAAGAATACATTTTTCTTTCAGTAAAATTCTGAATTTTTTATTGAAATAAAAATATACAAATTATTGCCATAACTATAAACTCTTAGATTATATGTTAAATATTGTTGTTCCAAATACATTATACCAATTGACATGACAAGGCGTTATTTTAAAGAAAATAGCTAATGCAGACTTTCATTATCAATAATAATTTATACGCAATCATTTGTAAATAAAAATTCTTTTGAAAATGACTAAGTCGAAATGTAGGTCAAATTTATTAGGTCTTTAGAACATTATCAACTTGTTTGAATAAACGATTTTAAAATATTGAGGCAATGTTTCAAAAAGTTTATTTTCTTTAAAAAATTTAGAAGTTTAAATGCATTTTACGATAATTCAATTAAGAGAAATCATTAATTGTTTCTTTTTCTTCATCATCATCAGCCTATCAAAGCCCACTGCTGAGCAAGGCTTCATCTCACACGGAGAAGGTTTAAGCATTAATCACCACGCTCGCTCAAGGCGGGTGTGTGATTTAAAATTTATAATTATGAAATTATAAGTACAAGTTTCCTTACGATGTTTTCCTACACCGTCTATCAGTGGTGTTTAAAAACTCCTAATTTTTTTTCTTATAAGATGAATACATTCCTCAACCGTCATATTTACAAAGTAAAAAGGATTCTAAATGTTATATCTTTTAATTACAATAACTATGTATTACTATATTATATAATGTATGTATCACTATGTATTTCTTTACAATCACTTTGTGATTTTTCAAATTATGACCGACATTTACAAAAAACTTATGCGTTTACTCACAAAAATGTCATACACTGCATAAAAAGTGTCGGCTCAGTAATCTCAAGCCGGGTAACAAAGAGCGGAGATTTGTAAGGACGTCGCGGGTATGGGATTAGCTCTAACGAAGCTCATGGCTAACTTTACGTTACAAACGACAAACGAAACGAAAAACTAATGAATGAACCACAAAACTATAAAGAAAGGATAATAAATACTATAAAAATAACATATACTATAAAACATATAAGAGTAGAAGTCATAATACTTATATATAATAAGAGAATTGCGTCTTAGAAATTGCTTTTAAGAATATAAATATATTATTCTTCATTACTCTTTTTGTATGAAACAAAGTGTATTATATATATTATATTTTATTTATGAATGTATATAAATCGCTTAATCTCGTAACTTGGAGTGTATGAATGTTTTAACACGTCGTTTCGAGATGTTCAACTGGGCACATTACATGCAACATTACCGCTGACATCAATTTAAATCTAAAATTTGACAAGAAAGCAAAGGTTATAATGTACAGAACTTATTAATTTGTAATAGTATACTGGGATAAAACATAACCTCTTTTTTCACATCCTATTCGTGTCATTATGATTATAAAGAAGTATATATACAGTAAGAATTTCTTTTGTAATATAATAATGTGTGTATAATAAGAAAAACAGATTTGAATCTAAAGTGATCTCATGTAACTAAAGTCTTCCAAACATATTGAACAATACTCAGTACTTGCTAAGATAACACAATCATTCCACTTCAGTTGAGCCGAGTTTTGTAACTGTCTTATTGTGTTTTTATGTTACCTAAATAATTCTATCATCAGATATATTAATATTGAATAATATTAGATTTATACTGAACGTATTTAACAGTTGAACTCCGATTATATCAAAGAAAAAATACCTTTATTAGAAAACAAATATTAACAAAAAAATATCCTCAATAGAAACCACTGGTTACAAAACGATTGAAATAAAAATAAACAATCTGGAATAATAAAAGTCAATTATATAAAGACTCCCAACTCCCAAAACAATTTAATTCCTTCACGGAAATCGTCTATTTAACACAAATAAATATTTAAGTACTTTTTGTACATAATAACAAAATTACGAAAATATTAAGAATTACGACGTGTATGTTATGTATATTATAAAGATTATATTATACATTTACTACTAACTTTAGTCGTTACTTTCATTTATTTGTATAATCTATGAGTGTACATTTAAATGGGTAAGTGAACATTTACTTTGCACATTAAGGTAAAGTCTCACATTTGGTTCGTGTTATTCTTTAAGCAGGAAGACAAACTAAAGTTTGAGCTTATAACAGCAGGTGACAACGGTAAATGGAAACTTTAAAACTTAAATATGACAAAGAGTTCAGTTATAGAAGATTATGAAACTGTTAAAATACACTTACAGTTACAGTATAGAAATACGCAGTTATATCGCAGCAAATATATTAGCAAATTGAAAATATAAATACTGGAACTTTTCTTAAATTCTCTCGATTATTTTCGTCCATCTATCGCATGTCACATTACAGTCGGCCGCGTAATATGAGAAAATTGAAAGACTCACTAAAGTACATAGCGAAGTTAGAAGTATTTGTGTTCTTTGATAAGTTGAAATAAAAAATTATTCATCCATTATCTCACTTTGCTGCACGATTAGATTGGAATATTTTCTATACTAATGTTTGCCCATTCATATTACTAAGTGCCAATTAATAATTTAAGATCTAAAAAGTAATATTGCAACCATAAACCTGATATTTCCTATTAAATCTAAACTGATTAAAATACGTCAATGTATGTATTAGTAGTTTATAAAACGAACCAAAATTTCAATTTCACTTCACTACTATTTACATAAAAGTTTTCAAACAAACTCTTTCAAGCAAAAAATAATAACATAACTAAAGAAATAAGAATAAAAAATATGGTCCATAATCTATTTAATAAAGGTAACAAAAAGCTTTTAATGAAAATTTCCAACCGCCATGTAATCTTATTTTCTGTTTATGTATAAATAATTTTCATTTGACCGTAAAAGGTCTAATAGGGCAACATTAATTCTTCTGTCTGGTCAAATCTATACACAACCATTCATTGCGATTGTTCATTTCGATCCCAATATGATTTTTTTTTTCATCCACATATTACAAATAACAGTTATTGTTCCTTTTAGATTTGAGTACAGTATGTACAATACTTGTATTTTTCTTACATAAATCCTTCATTATACTCACACATACATACAAATTTCATTTCACACACACATACTCACGTTTGGCGCTGACACCCACTGAAATGATTAGCACGGCTAACACTGACAGGGTAAAAGTGTTTGCAGCCATTTTAACTGAAACAAAACAATGGAAACATTAAATATATGTAATGAGAATGAATTAACTTGTTTCTTAATATTACAAACATGTTTAATACGAATGTAGTTTATTAAAATAAGATCAAGCTATCGAGCATACCCGGGAAAAACTACTATACTAGTAATTAATAAAATTGAATCGTACAAGTACTCGTTAAATATTACCTTTACATAGAGACGTCATTGTAATAAAAAAAAAACTGTAGAGCGAAATTCATCACAATCAAAAATATGAAAAAAGCTTTTTGTTTAAAAAACTTTGATTGGAAAGGCTTCGCGATAATTAAAAGAAGCTATTTCTGTTGTTTCACTTAATTCTATTCAACATTAAAACAACAATTACGTGTTTATTCACAAAAATATCTTTGAAATTATCCTCATGGCTATTTTCGTGATATTTTTTTTACTTTTATATTTTGAACGTAAAAATTGAGATAGTTTAATAATATTAAATTCTAATACTTATATTTTAAGTGATAGATTTTAAAATTTGCTTCATGAAGTGAATTCAGCAAATCCAATTGTTTCATCCGAGTAGTTGGAACGTCACTATAACTGGATCTTAAATATTGACTCTGAACTCCAACTTCGAAGTACTATAAAGCGATTGTCAATGTATTTATAACACGTAACTGTATTTTAGATATTATCATCTTAAAACTTCAATATATTTATTTTTAAATTAATTAGTTTGTTCTTCACAGTGACTAGAATTTAGATAGATAGATAGATAGATAAAAACTTTATTTAGTCCACACCACAACATAAGAAAAATAAAAATAAAATATAAACAATAAGGAGATATTAAAATACAAAAAAAAAAGAATAATAATAACTAAACAAGAAAATAAACTTATAGCTAACTTACAAGAATAATTACATCTATGGTTACTTAGTCTAAATTAAATTATATAAACTGAAAAAGATTTCCTACCACAAAGCTATAAAAAAACAAGAAAAGAAAAATAGAAAAATTATAATAATTAAAAAGACTAAAACAAAAAGAAAGTGTAAATAAATTTTGCACTGGTGTGGGATCCAAAATGGAAAACCCCATCAGTTAAAGCTGGCATAATACAATCCCAGCACTGATTTTCAGAGGCCTCCATGTGACGGTGACGTACGGGCGCGTAAGCGTGGCAAATAAATTATTAAAGAATTAAAGATTAAAGAAATAATGATAAATCTAGACTTAAAATTCAATCTAAAGAACGGGTACTCTGACTCAATTCAATGACAGTGCCATGGTATGTTATGACGACAGGGGCTATAACGAAAAAAATAAAAATTTAGGTAAATATTTTTTTTATATACAAATGTTTTGTGTTGCCCTAGAGATGACGATAATAGTACTCCCAAAAACTATTATTGGGACAGACACTCCGCAACCAATATGACATGAAACAATCTGCATTAAGCAAATTGGCCATGTAATTATAGGTATGTTTTTAACTAAATACTAACATTTATACTATTAAATATTTATATCAAAATCAATATATATGTAAATTTGTGAATATGATAATTTATTATTATTAGTATTATTACTATTGTTACTATTGTTACTATTGTTACTATTGTTACTATTGTTATTCTTGTTTAATCTACATATTGTTCAATTTGTAGATTAAACAAGAATAACTTGTATTTTAGTCTAAAAGTATTTAACGATTTTAAGTCACGAAGTGGGGGCGGCAGATTGTTCCAGCATTTGGTTGCGGCATATCTGAAACTTCCACGAAAGGCTGCAGTACGATGTGGGTGCACTAACAGTAAATAAGGATTCGCCCTGGTGGAGTGATTAGTGTTTACAACCGATGACCACAAAAGTTTATCATAGAGATATCCCGGAGACTTGGATTTAATGACTCCGAATAAAAGTAAAGCGAAATGCAATTGTCTGCGGTAGTCAGTCTTTAAGGATTTGGCTTCATTTATGTAAGGAGTTACATGTGCACGCGGAGGAATGTTGAAACAATAACGAGCGCAGGCATTCTGTACTTTCTGAATAGCCGTTTTCGAGCGTGCCAGCATCCGTGGCCCTATCACTGTATCGGCGTAATTTAATTTTGACAGTACCAGTGATTCACACAATGTTACACGTAATTCAAATGATAAGGACTCTCGTATACGGTACAATAATTTTAAACGGTAAAAGCAGTTACGGACAGTATTAATAACTTGCTTTTCAAATCGCAAGCTGTCGTCCATGATGACGCCCAGATTTTTAGCTTCTGTGACTCTGTCAATAATTTCATTGTTTATGGATATGATAGGGCTATTACTAGATAAATGTTTTTATATGTTTATTTGTGCCAAGAATCATATATTTAGTTTTTTTTTGCATTCAAAACTAGAGTGTGGGACTGTGACCATGCAAATATTCTATTTAAATCATCATTTAAATTTTTAACGGCAGTTTCCGTGTTCGACAAGTGAAATGATGTATAAACTTGTAAATCATCTGCATAAACATGACAATCACAATTCATAATACAACTCGTTACGTCCGCCGTATATAGTATGAACAATAAAGGCCCTAGGATTGAACCTTGGGGCAAGCCTCGTGTTACTGGACAACAAGGTGAACAAGCTATGGTACCATCTTCACCTATTAATTCCACTGATTGTCTTCTATTAGATAAATAGCTTGCAAACCAATCTATAGCGGTTCTATCAAAACCAAAGTACGCCATTTTTGCCAGCAGTAAGGAGATATTTACAGTTTCAAACGCTCGAGAGTAATCTAACAACACCAGCAGGGTAACTTTTCCGGAGTCTTGGGCACTAAGAATGTCGTCTACAACCGTGGTGAGCGCGGTAGTAGTGCTACGATGCTTTCTAAAGCCCGACTGAACGTCAGGTAGGATTTTATTGTTTTCTAAAAATTCGGATAGTTGCATGTAGACCACTTTTTCCAGTACTTTCGACAAACAAGGAAGTATGCTGATAGGACGTAAGTCAGACAAGGTAGTTGGATTATTCAATTTTGGTACAGGTTTAATAAGAGCCTCCCTCCATAGGTCAGGGAACTTGCTAGACAGAATGGATTTATTGACAATATTTGTAATAGCAGGGAGGGTGTAAGAAAGTGTCATCATAATCATATCCAAGGAGATTCCATCCTTACTGATGGCGTTTGATCTGAGACTGTGTCTGAGACTGTGAAATTGGGGTGTTTTTTAATTTCAATAGCGAAGATGGCTGGAACCTATCAAACACCTGGGATCCTCTTCTTAAAAATATAAAATCCCATGTCCGTGACCACACCGCAGGACCTCGAGACACCGTGAGCGCATTTTGCCGGCATCCAGAGCGGTACGCAAGACAATTAAGAAATCGATGGCGGTAGGAGATAAAATGACCAGACCAACTGACAGACACTCACATCTCGTCTGCCCGTGATCACGGTTGCTGAAAAGTAGCCGAAACGTCGGGAGTATGTAGTTTCTAAAATAAAACGCGAAGTAAAATCCGAAAACATTAGTTTCATTTAAATGTGTACTCGCGAAAATCTTAGATCTCATTATATATATATATTTATTATTAAAGGACCCTAAGAAGAAATGTGCATACAATTTTTGAGTCTAGAAATAATACTAAGTAGTTGTTAAATAAATAGTCTTATTTTAATATATTTCTTATTTAATTTTTATTTAAAAAACTAACTTATATTTTCTATTGTTTTTTTGGGTAAACTTTTTAAAGATTAAATAATATATTCCAACGATAACAAAGCAAGTTGAGGTAAAACATTTCTCTTTTACTTGTTTTTAAATATCATATCTCTATTACAAAATAATCATCTTTTCATTCCAACACAATAAAAAAACAAGTTTTACAAATATATAATTTGAATAAGTTTTTCAGACATATTATAATTTTGAAGCGCATACATTCTTTTTTTTGTATCCAATTAGTAATTTTGTATGAGATTGTTATCACCTCATTTCATAGTTATGTATACTTGAAATAATATTTATTCATAAATTATTATTTATTTCGTCTGCATTGTATTAAAATATTAATATAATTATATTTTATTAATATTAAAGCTATTTTGAACTTAGTCGTTATTTAATTTAATGTACAAAATATATAATGGCAATAGGTACATGGCATAAGTTGACACGACAGCCTATTTGATAGAAGCGACTAGAACTTTATAATAAAGAGGTTGCAGATTCGAATCCTGGCCGTGTCCAAGAATATTTTATTCTCTATTTTACACTTAAAATTTTAATCCATTAAACATATCATACAATAAATATTACAAAATAAAATTTACTTTAAATGTTCACTCGTATCGTTTTATATAATAATAATTTAAAAAATATTAATTACTTAATAACTCTGTCACAATCTGTCTAATTACGCGACCCCATATGTACTCAACAAATTACTCATCATCCTAAATAAATATATACTGGGATAGTTTGTGAAAATTTTAGTAATGTATGATTTTTATAAGATGATACATTTTGAAGGCCAATTAATTATTTATCGTCGCCCACGTTTTATTTTATTTTATTTTATCAGCGCCCATATTTTATTTTCGCCCATATTTTATTTCCAATAAGTATATCATACGAGTATTGTAATCAGAATGCTATGTGCAATAAAACAATTCGTAAAATACCTACCGCTATCTTTACATACATGAGCAAGTCGTGTCCAATTTTATGTGAACCGCGTCGATAGAAAGATTTTATTGGTACTATAATGTTTTAACACGGTTTCGTCTGTTATATGCACTTTATAAGTACAACTGGATGATTCAAAATTAAATTTATTCTGTTTGTTATTATTATTAATATGATTTTATGTAAACATATTTTACATTTTGTTTATAATTAATTTTATTTCGTTATATAATCTATTCAGATTCAGAAAAAATTACCCGAAAAATTATTTTATAATAATTTAAAATTACAGAAACTAATATAAGTATCTTGTATTTGTGTAATACATATTGGTTAATACAGTCAAGAGCCTCTCAAATTTACCCTGTTTTAATTAATTATAATATAACATATTTAAAACAAATTTCGATTTTATTTAAAGTAATCTATTTTAATATTTATCACATTAAAAATCTCAACACAAAATAATATTACAGGTTACCCCATTATTCAAAAAAGGAAATTAAGTGGTTTAAACCAGTTTTATGTGTAAACATATATATCTTTTTTTTTGCTAAAGTCCTTAGATCCCTGCTGATAGAATGCAAAAAGTTTTCTATCGTGTAAAACTTTTTGGACATTATTGAAACAAATGAATACTTTACATAATTTAAAGATAATGTACAATACTGGTTGGTAAATGGTGGTTTATTTGATACGATTTCATGAGTAAAATTTTAGAATATTTCAACTTTTCTTTTATTAATAAAAAAAATCTCTGTTGTAAGAAAAAACCAAACCTAACCCACATTTAAATTAAAAACTGAATAATTATTAATTAGCATTTCAAACTTGCATTTCTATTTTTGTGTTTAATACAATAAGAATTCATTTTATTTTTACCGATAGAAAAAGTAAACATATTAAATATAAGTGTATTATTTATAAACAGAAAAAAATACATATAAAGCTATAAAATAATGTATTTTTTGTTATAAATATCTGTCACATAAAGACTTAATTCAAAAGAATGAAACGCGAAGGTATCCTTCTTTTACTTATAAGGACACAAAAGGAAAAACATTTTCAGAACTTTTCCGCTTAACTAAATTCTTGATCAGTTGTAACAGACACAAGTTTTTATTAAATGTTACTATTAAACAATTTCTCTATATATTTTTTTATTTTAATGAAAAATTTCTATTCAAAGTTATTTATATATACTTTTAATTACGATTAATAAATTTAATAAGTTCAATGTTCATACAATTTAATTATATATACAAATTTTATAACTAATAAGTATTATTAATATATAAAAACTGTGAAATCAGTTAATCCATTTTATCTGTTTTGGTTAGTATAAAAGTCAGCGCATCTTAATAAATTTAAAGGGGATTATATCTCGTTTTTAATTTACAAAATAGGGATTAGTCTACTGCTGATATAATCTTACTTGTGGTAATATAACTCTTAAAGGTTTTCCTTCAATAACTATTAAATATACTGTCAACTTCCTATTATGTGAATTAATGTAAATATATACTATTTCATTTATTAATTACGCGTAGAATTCAGAATCATTATCTCTGTAATTTTGTATCAAAATGTTAATATTTGAAATATCATAAAATAGATATTTTTAATACTTTTTTAGATATAGAAAACAGCATTTAAATAGATTAAGCAATTTAATTGTACGTACAAAACTGCGGACGAAACTAAGTAAAATTATAGTAGGTTTATTAATTTAATCATGAAAGTTATTCTCAAATAATTTTTCTATAAAAAAAAACACAATTATGTTTTCATTATATTTAGATAATAAGGTGAATTACTTTAATATACATATAATATGTTACTTTCAACTTTTGAACAGTACAGTTGAAAATCTTTAACATTAAAGGACGAATATATGACAGGAACATAAACTATAATAAGTATCACATATAATGTGTTCTGATACTCACTCGTATAGCTTTTCTACAAATTAGGAATTCATTGTTCATAAATATTCTATATATATTCCGTTTGTTTTCCATTCGTACGTAATATATTGTTACCTACTTATTTTGCATTTATTGCAGGGAATACGACATTTAAGTGATTGAATGCTAGTTTCTTAGTTGAAAATATCTTGAGATAAATCTTAAGATTTTTATTGATATTTATTTAAAATGATGAGTTCTTTTATATTATTTATAAGAAATTAATTGACTAAATTAGTTGTGATAATAGTCAAAGAAATTCTTAAGAGTAGACGATAAGATGTTTAAATTATCCCAGTTATTCTACATATATTTAAATTGAGAAATACTAATAGCATATTTTCCCTTTTTTTTAGTTTGTATAATAAATAATTAATGCAACTTATTAAAATTATTTATAGGCGTTTTAAGGCTTTTTTTATCTCGAAATATATATTTTCCTTTATTTCATAGAAATGTATATGTATTTTTTTCTTTTTTTCATAAACTTAACTACCTTCAGAAACTCAGGTGTATAAAATAATATTCGATTTCTTTTATACATAGAAAAATAAGTCGTTACTTAAAATTATTATAAGTATAAAATAAACAAAAAAAAGCGTTGATAAGTTTATCAAAATGTATCAAAATTATTTGTACTCATTTAAAAATTTTATATCAACTATTGTCTATTATATTTTAGTTAAAGACATATATATCTACAACCTTTACAAATAATACGAAAACAATTGAAAACTATTCATAAATTATATAATTTCGTATTATATTTTGCATCATTTTCAGCCAAAAACTTCATTTTCATACACTTTCAGTGAAACAGAAGAAAAACAATAAATAAATATGCCTCAAACTTTTCTTTACGTAAAACATCAACATGTTTAGAGTTACACGAACTTGTACTTTAGGTCTTTTATAAATAAATTTTTGAGTACTAGAAGTATATTAACAACTCGAATGTACAGCTACAAGTGAATTGTTACAACTTCTGTACACAAACTTTTCGTGATGTTTACTTTGAGTTTTGTGTACACGGAAATTTTGAACATATTCTCATATTATTTCATATAATATTTTGATATAAAAATA